ATAATAATAATAATAATAATAATAATAAAATAATAATAGTATTTTCGATAATAATAATAATGCTAAAATAATAATGATAATAATAATAATAGTAATAATAATTCGTCCATCAACATCACACGATGGCCAGAGGGGATATTTCTCAAGCGAAGTAGAAAAATCCGTAGAATTAAAGGTTAAGATGACATGTGGCTTCTTCTGTGGCCGATGATACCAAGTCTGGCAGCAGAGGAAGGTTTGAACTTTTAAAAGCTCCACTTCCACTTGTTGTGGATGTGAGCAGCTGTCAGCCGTCTCTCTTGGTTTCACCATTAATTCTTATTCATGAAGCCTCATATGACCTGCTGCCTTCTGTTATTTCTGCTCTCCAACTAACAGATTCCATGTCGAAGGAGTTATGTTTGAACACCTTCAGAATCATTTTCAGGGTGTCTTTGTAACGCCTTTTCTTTGGTGGACCAACTTTACGTTTCCCTGAGGACAGTTCAGAGTAGAAAACTGCCTTCGGGATTTTGAAATCAGGCATGCCTACGGCATGACCAGACCAGCAAGTTGATGAACTTCGGTTTTTGGCATTTCATCTTACCATTTGATGCTGAGAATTTAGTTCTCCAGAGGCATTTCAAGTGAAAATGATGAAACTTCTGAATATGGCTTTGGTACACCGTCCACATCTGGTTCCAAGCAGTAAATGACCAATATTGTGTCGATGTGCTTCTCTTTACTCTTTTCTCAAACAAACTAACCAACTAACAGTTATTCAATTTGCCCTTTTCTCATGTTTCAGACATGTTTCAGAAATGTATTCTATAGAAGGTCAACTGGAACTCAATCTTATGGGATAATTCCTTTAAAAAAAAAGATTTGATTTTCATGTGAAGTAGGGGTTCCTGTTTCGCCACCACTTGTGATGCTAACTAGAAGAGACCGAAGTGCTATTCCCGAGTGGGGAGGATTTATTTTGAGTATCTTGGTCTTTTTGCTAAGATATTGTATCCATTTTAGCGCGGGTTGGCCCTGATAGGCATGATGGAAGCACACCTCATATACACTGTATTATAATATGAATTGTGTCCATTGATGCGTAAAACACCTGGTTCTAATCCATGTATTTATCACGTCCTTTTGCCCTCCACCATTCCCCTTCCCATCTGTACAGATCCCTGGAATGTATGGCTACAGTTGTGCAAAGGCTGGTCTGGACATGTTCACGGTGTATGCAGCAACAGGTTTGTGTGTGTGTGTGTGTGTGTGTGTGTGTGT